TATCTATATAAATATTGGTCACACATCCGGCGATACAACCGGCAGTAATAACTGCAGCTTATATCTATACGTATAAAACGTCAAAAGAGTTCAATTTGAAAACGCTGTAGGTTCAACAATTTGATATTTACTGTGTMTAAGATATATCTATCGCACTAATAATACCAATACAGTATCTAAAAATAGTAACAATTTGAATACTGTTAACAATATCGATTCCAATCCACGCGAATTGTACGATAAACGTATTTTAATTTTACAGTTTCATACGATTAATTATTTTTGCCCACCCACTCGTAAATTTTTGAATTTTAGTCAATATTAGACAGCCTTAGCATACGTTTTTTCGTGTAATATGTTCCAACACATGTCACTCTCGTAACCACACCAACATGGCCAAAAAGGAAAAAAAAACCTATACCTAATGTACTTAACCGCCCTAACCCGCGACCTTATACACAACACAACAACAACAACAACAACAACCACCACAACAACAACAACAACAACAACCACCACAGAGTTTTATTAAATCGTATTTATATAGGTATACCGCCGGGCACTCCGCCTTGCACTCTGGTGAACTGGACTGGCGGCTGTTGCGGAACGGGTTTCTTGCGGTTCGGCGGTTCTGGCGTGGACATCGGCGGCCTGTTKGGCGATTCATAGTACCTGGACGGCTGCGGCGGTGGCGCCGGCGAGTCGTAATCCGCCGGGTGGTATGCCACCGGTTGCTGGCCCGCGTTGTAGGCGGCCTGGTGCGCGGCCGCGGCCACGGCGCCGTACACGGAGTGAAGCTGCTGTCCGTGGCCAGCGTGGTGGCTGTACGCCATCGGGTTGTACGCGGCGGTGGCGGCGGCGCCGCTGAAGTTCTGAAACGAGCTGATCATGCTGTCTGTTTCCGGTCGTCTAACGCGGTGCCGCCGTTTTGTATCGCGGGCGTGCGGTAACCGCGGTATACGAACAAGGATAATATTAATAATATAACACTATCGGCGGCGGTGGCGGATTTCGCATGGCGGACGGTCGAAATAAGAAAACGCAATAATTATATCTGCAGATATATGATGACTGCCGTTTCGGGGGATCGTCAATATTAAATTTTTTTGCACTATATTATGTTTTATTCGGACGAGAGTGGCCCGTCTGTGGACAGAGCACCGCGCACGTCTGGACACGCCGAGCGAATGAATCAATGAAATGCGCGACGGCGACGCGCCACCACCTGTCGCGTGCGACGGCTCGTTCTGTTGGCGGCGACCACGCCATGGCGGAATTATGCAATAGGCGGCTGGACTTGGCGTGCGTGCCGCCGCCGTATTATATGGATTGGAGTCTGCATACATTACGTCTTGTTGTATGACTATAGTGTATCGTGTCCATAATATTATTATCTTATAATAGTTTCCATGGGTAGGAGTAATACGCCGCAGAAGGACAGTGTGACCATTTTTTAAACGTTTTTTTTTTTTTGTTATTGATTGTTTTAAATCCGTTTTTAATTTCTCATCGATTGCTCACGCGTGCACGTACGCGGACACACATCCAAGTTCGGTCACGATCTTATTATATTCTTATAATAGATCACAATAGAGTATAGACATATTATATTAGACATATACGTACATCGACAATCTTGTATATTAGTATATATGCAAATAATGCATTTATATTGATACCGGATTCAACGGTATACTAAATAGAAATACATAATAAGTAGACAATGTAATTATTACATCCGTTAACCGTTCGTACTATATGTTTCGTATTATAATATTCCATTAAATTCGATACCTTTGTGGAATATCCAATATTGTCCAATAGGAATATTCTAGATATTTTAAGACATCGATTACAATATTCAATATTCAAACCAACAAAGGCGAATACCTGCAATACAATTAAAAAAAAAAAACTTTTTAACTTAAATGCTGATTCATAAATGACAAATTGTAAACAAAGACAATGTACCTACTASCTACTACCTTCTAAAAAWTATCCATACTGTTTAATATATGATACAAAAATACATCTATATTATCCTGATTTTATATTTGAGACGAATAAAGCCGCAAACAGTTATTATGCTACCCATTACGCATTACGCACCTATAATGACAACCTATATAATATTATATATTATACTGAACAATACATATTATTTACTTGTATGTATTATAACATCCGTCGTCTGTGCAAATTTTCGGGATAAACCCAATGTACGATTGCAAACCCGATCGAATATTGATCATTCCGGAGTCCAGACGGCCAACAGTTCAAAAATCATGCATAATATTATACGTGCCAGTTTTTATAATTAAAATATACAAGGTGTAACAGAAAGACCTGACAAATGAAACAACTTTTGTTCAAATAAATTTTATTTTTTTCAGGATCACACTACAAATATGGTATAAAATTTTTTTATTACTGAAAATAAAATAATAAATTTTATTTGAAAGAATTCAATAGTCAATTTCTAAGCTTAATTAAAAATAAAAGGAATAATAATTATGGTTTTTTTTTTACGAAATAAATAAGTAACATTTACAATCTGTACAGTAAAAAAAAAGTTACAATAAGCAAATAGGTGAACATGATGTTTAATTGGGCATGGTGACGTGGAGAAGGGAAGCTATCCAGCGATAGGACCTTTTAGACGTATTTCGGCAAGAATTGWCAAGACCTTATTTTAAGTTAAAAGGGTACGACACCAACGTCTTTATAAACGATGAGGCGGGTTGTCGGGAATTGTGACTGTATGTTGTTGAGCAATTGGTGGATTATGATGCAGAAGTAATTTTGAGTAGAGTTTAGTATAGTGCGTTTTAAATAAATTTTCAACTGATTCTATGTATAGGTCTTTGTGTAAATAATTATGTGACAACTTCTATTTAAGTCAAGTAGTTTATTTTTTAAAATTTTTAAAATATAAATATTTTTTTTTTTAGTATTATAGCTTTTATATAACTATAAATATAATTTTTAGGTGTATCCAGTTACTAGTAAATCTTTTATAAWTTATCATGCATATTTTTTTCATAATGTTTAACTTGTATCAATTTTTAATTTTTAACTTGTCAGATATTTATCTGTTACACCCTGTACAGTGTACATATATATATATATATATATTACTCATAATATTACTGAGAGCCGGTCTGCATGCGTTCGCCAAAAATAACAAGGGCGTTGTGTGGATACCTCCTATTTTTGTGCGAGGGACATTTTATCTGATTTTATCTATTCTAAGCGTGGAGTGTAGTAATAATGTAATACCAATTTTAAAATAATAATAATAATAATAATAATAATAATAATAATAAAAATATTATAATACACTACGCATAATATGATTGTGATAGTTTTGCATTATGGCGTGTTCCCGAAGGACACTTACCTATGTTTAGTCTTTATGGGCCTTTCTGCCCGAAACCGGTTCCCTGATTATGTATATTCCTATCCACCAAAAACGAAAAAGATACGATTTTCGTTTCCGTCGAAATGTATTTATGTATTGTTGTGAATAGATTTTTCCACCCAATATTATTTGGGAACCTATACAAACGAAAAAGTCACGAGTGTACACTGGACACTGGACATTAAAATAAGAAAATGTTTAGTCATTATATATAATTGCCGAATTATTGTTGATCACATATCCATTACATTTAGATATTTTATAATGTCCTAAAAAATATTATACAAATATTAATCATACCCATGCTAACAGTATGAAAGTAGTACAAATACTATTGTTTAAAAAAAAATCACATAGATCATAGATTCATCAGTTGAATTATAAGGAATTGGACTAAGTAGGTATTATAAAAGTTTCATAATTGAAAATCATCATCTAATATTATTTTTATATGCTTTTGACAATAATTGTTACATAATTATTATTATGTTAATGTAGCTTATAATTTCGCTGTCGAAAAATTAATCGATGTATACTACTGTATTGTCTGTGATTATTTACAGATTTCAAAGTACTTTTCCATATTTCCATTTCTGTGTCACAAATTATGGAATATACATTGCCTAAAAATAATTAAAATCATATTTTTGTATGGAAACGGGAATCGTACCTTTTTTGTTTTTGATGGAAAAGAGCTGTTGCGGAATTAATCAATATTATTATTTTTTGTAAATGGATAACACGATTGTCTCGACCATATTTCATTGATTTGGGATTGGATGTGTCATATTATGTCAAGCTGCATGCAGGACTCGGTAAAACAACAACTTAAAGGTTCATTTTAACGTTATGATGAACTGTTAACTTTTTTACCCGGTAAAAAATGAATTGATATAAAATGCAGTGTGTATTTCGGTTTTAGTGTACTTCGTTTTACTAACTAATTCWATCGAGATGAACAATTCACCTGAAATCAGGTATATTGGATATACCACTTGTTATATTTTTGAAAGTGGTTTAAACTACTTTTTACAATTTTCTTATATTTCTTAGAATAATCTTTTATATGTTAGTCAAAATCGGTCAAGTAGTTTTGAGTATATAAGGTACAAACATACATTYATTTATTTACATTCATATTATTATGTATGTATACATATGTATTTTTTTTATTTTATTTTAAATGAGCCTCAACAA